TTTTGTAAGAAAAAACAAGAAAAAGGAAGGCAAACTAGTCCTCAAATCAACCATGAATAGCTTATGTTTAATTGTTGCAAAGAAAAGCTTCGAAAGGTTAAAAAAACTCTCATCTATGATTTATTTTCTCTCTCTAAAAATCTCCTCCAAACCTAAAAACAATTGATGGAAAGTAATTTTAGAGTAAAAATCATAGCTATGTGAAGAAGATGGTGAAATTTTAGAGGCTAAAACCAATAGAAACGAAAGACAAAGAAATGTATAAATGTTGCTTCTTTTTCGGGTTCTTTGTCCAATATACTATCCAGGTGTGAGGAAGAAGAAGATGGTTTTTTGCATTTCAATTTTGGTCCTCAAACTTGTGAGATTTGTGTGATTGAGTTCCTAATTTGAAGTAAAATTGACAAAGTTTTAATCTTAAGACTAGTTTCAATCTTCACTCATTTTCATAGCCCTTCTTTGAGTGTTTTGGTCTAATATTTTTAGAACCTACACATATGCTTGTCCATGTTGTGTTTTAAATTTCATAATTTAAAATTTTATTTACTATTTATTTGATATTTATTAATATTCTATTTTATTTTTAATTGTTATTGTTTCTTTTTTATGAAATCTAATTATTTAGCCATTTTTTAATTTAATTTTAATATGATATTTTTAAGGTTTGTTCATGTATTATTATTCAGCATGAAATTTAAGTTTCATGATTTTAAATGCTTATTTTCTATTTATTTCAGATTTATTTAATATTCTATCCTTTTTTTTAGTGAAGTTTGTTGATGTAATTTAATTATTTAGCTTAGTGTTTGGTTTTACTTTAATCTGATATTTTTAGAGTTTGTTATGTGTTGGTACTTGGAATTTATTTTAAGTTTCATAATTTTTTAATTCCATTTAGCATTTATTTGCTATTTAATTATTATTCTATCTCATTTCAATTATTAGCGTAGATCATTTGTGGAATTTAATTATTTGTCTTAGCTTTTAATTTTTTATTAATATGAAATTTTTTGAGTATGCTTGTGTGTTTGTATATAGATTGTGTGTCAATTTTCATTATTTTACGAGTTTATTTTCTATTTATTTAGTATTTATCATTATTTTGCCATTTACCTTAACTATTAATGTGTTTTATTTCAATAGTTGATTTTTAATTCCAACATCCTTTATTATTTTAATCTTATAATCTGTATATATGTCTATTTAGGTCTTGTGTTTTAATTTTTGTAATTTTATAATTTCGTTTTCCATTTATTTTGAATTTATTTATCATTTGGCTACCATTATAATTATTAATGTGGTTGGTTTCGAATTTAATTTTATCCTTAGTATCCTTTGGTTATTTTAATATAAAACTATGAGGGTTTGCACCTATGTTGATTCTTGGTTTGTATATTAAGTTTTATGATTTTTGGAATTTATTTGTAATTTAATTTTAATTCTATTATATTTCTTAATGTGATGCATTTTATTGTTTAATTAATAAGATGAAAGATCATCAAGTCTTCTAGATTCTAGGAACCGATTACGATCCTTCATCATGATAAAAAAATATATGCCTTTTTAGGATAATTAGAGAATTCAAGTCGACCTAACGAGTCTCTTATTTAATAGAGATGAACGTTATTTTTGACACCTCGATCAAATAATAATAATAGTAATAATAATAATAAAGGTAAATACAAGTCGGATATCATTAGTAATTAGGTCATTCCTCGACATGTTGGTCATGTCAAGACTTAATTAGATCTAGTGTTAAATTGATCCGACTTCAAGGCCCGATGCCAATTTAATACGATGCTACAATAAAAAAAATTAATTTAGACAATAGATAAACTTGAAAATAAATTTAGGAAATAATTTGGTAAAATAAATTTTTACGAGATACATTTTTATGATTAAATTAGACATGGTATATTTATCCGAAAAAGATACTTTTGGATGATTGATATCTTTTTAAAGGCATAACCAACTCCTTGTTAGTGTAAGGCCGAAGATCCAACCATGTTTGGATCGGTTTGAGCTATTGTATTAATACATCATTTATTTTATTAATAATAAAGAAGTCTTTTATTAATTCTTATGTTTTATGTTTATTTATTAAAATTAGTTAGAAGTCCTTATGATATGCATTTGCATTAGTGGTTGATTGAAAGATATGAGACAAACACTAATGCACATAAATGATAACATTAAATATTCTAAGTCATAGCATTGTTAAGAATGGATATTGACTATATACGGTTAGATTTATGAGTGTTATACTCATGCCATATGATAGCGAGTAGGAGATTTCATACCTATTGGCATGATGATGCCAAAGCAAACACTTAGGTGACTTATATTAGAGAACATATCACTTGGACTTGACTCACCATGAGAATCCATTTGGTTTAGTTTATGGAAATCTCATATGAGATGGATACAACTAGCCCTTAGACTTAAAGTCATCACGGTTATCTCATTGGAGGATTTATGTACTTTGACACTTGTTTTGATAGATCCAATAAAGGGTTGCACATTGACAATTTGTTATGTGTACTAGGAATCTAATAGAGGTAGGTAGATGATCAATATAGAACATATCATTCCTTATATGCTAAAGGAGTTATCACATTGCACTTCATGAATGTCTGCTTAGGAAATCTATGATCATAGTAGGAGTACACCAATAGAGCATAGTTGGTTTACTTTAAAAGCTAAGACATTTAGAGATTGAAGAAAACTTGTGTGATCATGATTAACAAGACTAATAACTAAGTTCGAGATCACACTACGACAAGTTGACATGATGACTGAATTATATGGTAACCATGCTCGTGAAAGGTAATTGCGAATTAATTAATCCTCCTAGAGAATTTTATAGTCAAGATATCTTGCTAAAGGTCAATCAAGAGATAAAAGAGTTTCTTTTATTCTTGATACATTACCAATATATCTAGGAGCTTATTGAGTCATATGCATAAGTTTAAGCACATGATTAAAGAGAGGTAAAGATATCGAAAAAAGTTTTCTATTTTAGAAATCGGTTTCCTAATTTGGAAGTAAATAACCTAAAATGAAAATTAGTTTCCTAATCTAGATTGAAGAGTAATTTGAGAAATAGTTTCCTAATGTGGACCTCCTAAAATTATCTAACTTAATTTATTTGGATAGTCTAAATTAATTAATTGGGCCAAAATAGTTTTAGGCCAATAGGTTTAATTGAAAGCTCGAAATATATTTTGATGGAAGGATAAACATGAACCTTATTGGATAAGGATGAACGTTTTATAGATAAAGATCAAAAGCCCACATGTTAAATAACTCTTAATCCTTGAAGGATTAGGGAGTAACAACCAAAAATCTAATTAGTACTAATTACCACCCCTCCTTATCCTTGGAGGATAAGGAAGCCTCTCCTATAAATATGTGGGAGAGAGGTGTAGCAAAGAGTAATTTTTTAGGAGAGAAAAAAACGGCAAGGCAAGAAAATAAATTAGGGCACACGACATTAAGCAAAGTAATAAGGAAAAAATAATTTTCTCCTAAAACCTAGCACGCCACTTTTTCTTCTCTCTCTTTGGGTTGTTGCAAAATTACTCCGATTTGGTTTCTAAGGAAAAACACTAAACAATGTCGGAAAAGGTGAAACTAGCACTCTATCAATTTTGAGTGCTTCTTTTGTAGGTGCTTGGACTGCGTGGATTATCGATAGAGGCCGAACACTCGGACGACTCTTTTGTACAAAGGTTTAAATTTATGCTACAAGAGGTAATTCTTTATTTAGAGCTTTAATTCATGAATATAGTGTTAGTTGATTCAACGACATGATCTTGGGCCTTTTAGATGGAGAAAATTTTTTGTTTTGTTTTGCATCTCTATGGGACGCATGATCCTTCACTCCTTACCTACAATCTCCAAATCTAACGTCATTTTTAGGTTTCCAAAATATTTGTTAACTCTTGTCCCAAAAAATAAACAGAAAACAATAATTTTTTCATAATTTTTTGAAAGTCCCTTAAATATTGAGTAGCGACAATGCTAAGTTATGAATGAAGAATGTCGATTCGAGTTGGTTTGGAATAATATGATAGATCAACTAAAACTTAAAACAAACTCTTCAATGGTGTACAAGCTTATCCAAAAATAATATAGTTCCTACACCATTTTATTGAAACAAATTAGAAAACTGTTTTTATATAAATAATGGATTGTTAATACATACATATAGAGAATAGAATTCAATAGTTATGCAGATGAGCTTCATGACATTGAAGTAGAGTTAGACAATAATTGGCAGGAAAAAAAAAAAGAGACGAAGGAAAAGAAACCATCAGCAAACAAATCCCAAATGAAGTCGGTGAACACATTAATCCAATAAAAAACAAGTAGCGTCGTTTTCAACTTTGGCGTTTTCTCGGAACAGAAAACAGCTTCCAATTTCCAAACAACGACGAGCAGGAAACGCCGTCGTTTAAAAAGCTGGACGTCCCAACCACGCTCCTAAACCAAGCGTGAAGCGGACAAACATCATCACTTCCCAAAAAGCCAGTGTATTTTTTCCTTTTGCTACAGCAAAACCAACACCAAACAACACTCTCGCAATTAATGCTCCCTCCTCCTCCACCTTCTCTGTTTCAACAAACTCTCTCGCTCTCCTTTACTCTTCAAAACTCCTAATCCTCCATTTTTTCTTTTCCTTCCTAACACAGACTCGCGTAATCTCTCCACCGTACATTTATACGTATACTATATATATATATATACGTACCTGTTTTTCTAGATCTTTACCGCATTTCATGGATCTGCAGCCCCACACCACACGCGCTCTCTCTTGATTTTTCTCTCTCCTAGGGTTGTACTCTTGACTCACTCACTAGCCACACTCTTTTTGAGGTTATGCTTCATACTCAATGCCACGGTGAGCTCAGCGGGAGCTCCTGGAACCTCCGTTGGATCTCCGGCAAGCTTCAAGGTCTTCGTTTTTAACAATGCTGTGGATTTTGGTTTGAGTCAAGATGCATACCCTGACAACGTCGCTGCTTCTTCTTTGCTTGTCTACTTTTGCTTTTGCTTGTTTAGGTAGCTATTTCTTGCTCATTTCTTCATATTTTGTTATATATTTTCAGCTTAATTTAGCTAGAGACTGCTGAAATTTTTTGGTTTGGTAGCTGTAATTTGCTTGCATTTTTAGGAAATCATAAAAAGAGTCCTTTTCTTTGTCTGTTTACCTTTGACGCTTCTAGGAGGTTAATATGACGGAATTGCTTTAGCACAAACTTTAGCTGGTACTGGCTCTGCAAATTGTGCTTGTTTATGCTAGTTAACTATCATTAATTTAAGGACATGCTATAAATTACCTGCCTTTTTCTGCCGCCGATTGGAGATGTTGCGTTTGATTTCTTATCATTTGAAGGACATGGTAGTGCATTAATGCTCCTGCCTCTTTAGGTTAAAATGATCTCATTGACTTGCTAATTGCATGGATGTCAAGTTTACTGAATGAATGGATGGTTTCTATACCTTTCGTCTAACCAAGACATTTATTTATGGAAAAAGTTGACAGAATTTTGGAAGCATGTATTGCAGAATTTGGATGTTCATCCATGCTACGTGGAAGGATTAGATATTTACACGTGTGGATAGAAATTTACAATGGTTCTAAAAACCTAAGGAAATAGACATAATGTGTGATGTTAATTTGCTAAAAATTAAAGAAAGCATATATAGCAATCACTGTTACAAATTGATGACCTAAGTTTTTATGATAACTGATAGATAAGATATGGTCTTTATTCTACATTTAATAATGCTATCGCTCTTCCAGATACACTCTGCTAATGTTGTTGCATATCCTTCTATCTGTTTTTGTGAGGACAAACAGTCTGATATAGCAAGGTTTATACTGTATGTATGGTGTATCTCTTTGTTTTAAGTTTCTAGTCCTAACTATAAAATATGAACCACCAAATTTCTTTTAAGTCTTGAATGTAATACCAAATTCTCAATGATTCTTAGCATATAAAGGAGATGCATGGTGTATCTCTTTGTTTTAAGTTTCTAGTCTTAAATATAAAATATGAACCCCCGATTTTTCTTTTGAAGTCTTGAATTTAATTCCAAATTCTCTATGATTCTTAGCATATAAAGGAGATGTATAATGATGAGGAACTATTCCAGACAAAGTGACCGAGATTCTTTTCACCAAATGAAATCATCTCATTTTCTTTTTTCTTGAAGGAACTCTGTAGAAATTGAAATTGTCTCTCTTCAAATGCTTTTGTTAGAAGTACTTTAACAACATTGGTTTTACTTTGGTCAACATGAAGAAATTATTTTATCGTTTATGATTCTTATTTGGATCCTCAGTTTTTCCCTGATCCTCTAAACCGTGATGCATATGCCCAATGTATTTATTTAAAACATTAACTTTATTTGAGAACCAGGGAGAACGAAAATTCTAAATCGGTATTCTATTCATTGATTGCATTTGGTAGGAAATCAAGCAACGGCTTTAACTCTAGTCTGTTTATTGTCGAGTCTTTTAGCAGGGTAATTAGTTTTGGGTTATTAATCCGGATAATTACAGTTTAACAGGTTAAAATGATCTTACTGGTTTGTTGATAGAATGGTTGTTAAGTTTACTGTATGTGTTAAGAGATTAGCATGATCTCACTAATTTCTATGCTTTCTTTCTGGAGAATTAAGAGATTTTTTTCAATGAGAAAGTGGATAGAATTTGGGAAGCATGTGGGAAAAATTGCAGAATTTGGAAATGAAAATTTTGTTAGGGTATGATTATACTGCATCCTGTGCTGAAAGATAGCTTAAATATTAACACATTTTCCCGTAGAAAGTGAGAATGATGCTATAAACCTCAGGAAATAGGCACAATGGGTTATGTTTATTTGCTAAAAGTCGAAAGAAATCATACATGGCCTTTTTTTTTTTTTTTAATGCTGAGAAATTGTCACTTGCTTAAGAAATTGATTACCTAAGTCTTGGGATTAGATAACATATGGTCTTAGTACTACATTTGACAATGCTGATTCTTCAAGTAATTATTTTAGGCACTAGAATGTATCACTCTTCCCAATACACCCTATTGCTGGTTTTCCCTTCAGATGAAATGAAACTATCTAATAAATCCTCTATACTCACAGTAGGATTTATACTGTAAGCATGACGTGCCTCCTTGTTTTAAGGTTCAAGCTTTAGCTATGAATCCCTGAATTTTTAAAATCTTGATTTTATTATGATAAATTCGATGCTTCTTAGCATATGACGAGGAATTGTTCCATACAGAGAACACATTAAGGGGCTGAGTTTCTTTGCATCAGAAGATATCATCTTACTTTCTTTTTCTGAAGGATTCAGTTGAAATTGAAATATCATTCTTCGGATGCTTTATTTAAATCACCCTAACAAAATCAGCTTTACTTTGTTCAATTCGAACAAATTATTACCACTGTTTATACTTTTTTTGAACTCTCTTTAGCTTTTGTGATCTGCTTAATGGTGATGTGTATGCCTACTTTTGTTACATGCATTCAGTTTAGTGTCGTGGTTTTTTTTCTTTTGGTATTATTAATTGTTTATGTACCTTTACACAATGTTATAACATGTTAGATGTCAATTGTTTGAATATCATTTTTTTTATTCATATTCCTGTATTATTTACCACAAGAGGTCTTGCAACTTCACTTCATTAAAAAAACTAACTTATCTGTATTTTTTCAGGGCATCCATTACTTCAAATGTATCTGTCTCCATCTTGGCAACCAAGGTGGCCATTATCTGTGAAAGACATTTTTGTGGGACATGGTAAGGCTGCAAAGTTTTAGTATCCGGGAAGGTTGAAGTCTTCCTGTAATGGCAAAATTCATTGTTAATAAACAAAGACACTGTAGTCTGTAGGTCAAACTTTTTTTGCTTCTATGCCAATCTGTAACTGTATGTGATAGCTGTGCATTATTGCTGACTATGGATAACATGCACTCTACTGCTTACAGGAATGTCAGTTGCAATAAGAGTGTCATTTGCCCAATCACGTCCATCTCAAAGTCATGTGGTTCAGCCTTCTTTGGGCCCTTCCCTCTCACCTGCACCTTCTCCAGTACATCGAGGTACTATCTATTCACAATTTCTTAGCAACTTTTCTTGACACTGCTGTTAGAATTTCACTAATTTTTTCTCTTCTTATTTCAGCTTCTCTCCCTGTTCCTAGCAGCAAACCCTTACCAAGACGTCATGGTGGTCGTCATCATCACCATGTGATTCCTGTTGTGACTGCTCCATCCCCTTCAGAAGAGCAAAGTATTATTTGTCAACTAAAGTTTCCAGTTCTTCTTTAAGTTTCTTTTGAATTTATATTGATAAAAAGTTCTTTGGCAGGCTGTGACCAAATATGCACTGAACCGCTCACTGCAACTCCCTTTGGTTCACCTTGTGGCTGCGTTTTTCCTATGAAAGTCAGACTTCTTCTAGATGTGGCTCCATATGCAGTTTTTCCTGTAATGAGAGAGCTAGAGAGTGAGGTTGCAGCAGGCACTTATCTTGAAGAAAGTCAAGTAAAAATAATGGGTGCAAGTGCTGATAGTCAAAATCAAGGGAAAACTGTGGTGGATATCAACTTGGTTCCACTTGGAGAGAAGTTTGATAATACTACTGCAATACTTACATATGATAGATTTTGGAAGAGGAAAGTTCCCTTAAATGTCACTATTTTTGGTAATTATGAAGCAATATACATTAGTTATCCAGGTAATAATCTTGAACCTCTTGTAAATCTTGTTGGCTTTACTTATGTTACTATAATGGTTGTGACCTAACTCCTATGAGTATATTAGGGATCCCTTCCTCACCACCATATCCAAACTTCATGGGGAGTGGTCCAAGTGGAAGTACTGGAGATCTCCCCATCACTGCTAATTTTGTAAACAAGAACCAGAGGATGAATGTTAGAACCATCGCCATCATTACTCTGTCAGCATTTGTGGTTTTAGTGGTTTTCATTGGGGCAATCGCTATTGTTATAAGATGGAGAAAGTCTGGAAGACCATCAAGTGCTGTTGGTCCCGCATTCACATCCTCTATAAATAAAAGATCTGGTATTTCCCTTTTTATTCGTTTTGTTTTACGTGTAAAGATTTATTTGATCAAAATTTCAATTTATGCTGCTGTATCTCCGCTTTTGAATGCCAATACTTTTATTGTACAACTTCTGTTGTAGTTTCTAATGGAGATTACAAGCTACAGAAATGCGTGCTATCAAAATCTTTTACAGTACTTCAAATGTCTCTTGGAATAGAGCACACAGTTTTAGTAGTTGTCTTCTATTGAGTTTATTTTGTATGATCTCTAATTAATTGTTACTAAACATAATAAGTCCATGCCTGAGTTACTCATGACTGGATCGCTAAATGTGATACAGGCTTTGGGTCTTTCTTGTCAAGCAGCATTGCAAGCTCAACGTCAATGTCCCTCATGTCCAACATGGCCACTTGTATGCTTTCCGTCAAAAAATTTTCATTCGCTGAGCTTGAAAAGGCAACAGACAAGTTCAGTTCAAAGAGAATTTTAGGTGAAGGAGGATTTGGGCGTGTTTACCGTGGGAGTATGGAAGATGGAACTGAAGTTGCTGTTAAGCTGCTTACAAGGGACCATCAGAATGGAGACCGTGAATTTATTGCTGAAGTTGAAATGTTAAGTCGATTGCATCACCGAAACCTTGTGAAACTTATTGGCATATGTATTGAAGGGCGTACACGCTGCTTGGTGTATGAACTTGTTCGGAATGGCAGTGTGGAATCGCACTTGCATGGTATTTTCCTCACCACCTTTGTCTGTCTTTTTATAGGATCAACTTCTTTTTTTTTTTTTCTTTTTTTAAAACATCTGTTTTTAGTTGCACCATGTGCATTTTATATTTTGTTCTAGAAACCTCCACATGATATTTAGCCTTTCATTTGGCAATTTCATTAAATTGTTCTGCAAGTGATTTTATTTTCCCTGAAACAAGAAGGTGAAATGAAGCTTCTTTTGTTCAATGCCCAATTTATTGATGTTTCAGGTGTTGACAAGAATAATGGACCTCTTGACTGGGATGCACGGTTGAAGATTGCCCTTGGAGCAGCTAGGGGATTGGCCTATCTTCATGAAGATTCTAACCCTCGTGTAATTCATCGAGATTTTAAGGCTAGTAATGTTTTACTAGAAGATGACTTTACCCCCAAGGTCTCTGATTTTGGCTTGGCGAGGGAAGCAACTGAAGGAAGTCATCATATTTCTACTAGGGTCATGGGAACTTTTGGGTAACTATGCTTGCCTTGTCAGTTTGTAGTAATCGGTACTTCATAGATTTCTTTATATATATATATATATATATATATATTCTCAGATTTCTTTGGTAACATGATTCATCACTAGTCATGTTGAACTGTATTTATTTTACCATTTCATACCGGGCATGGTGAATTTTTAGCTATCCATGAAAATTTGTACGAGTTTGAGGATTGCTGATGTTTCTTTTATTTTGTTCCTGACATTATAAAGATACAATTTGTCCGAATATTACTCTATTCCCTTGTTCACTCTCTGAATTTTTTGGTTTGCAGCTATGTTGCACCTGAATATGCAATGACCGGGCATCTACTTGTAAAGAGTGATGTTTATAGTTATGGGGTTGTGCTACTTGAGCTTCTGTCTGGAAGAAAACCTGTGGATATGTCCCAGTCTCCAGGACAGGAAAATTTAGTGACATGGGCACGCCCGCTGCTAACTACTAGAGAAGGATTGGAGCAGTTGGTGGATCCTTCCCTGGCAGGAAGCTACGATTTTGATGATATGGCTAAAGTGGCAGCCATTGCTTCTATGTGTGTTCACTCAGAGGTGACTAACAGGCCATTTATGGGTGAAGTTGTGCAGGCTCTGAAACTGATATACAATGACACAGATGAGACTTGCGGAGACTACTGCAGTCAAAAGGAGTCTTCTGTTCTGGAATCTGACTTTAAAGGTGATCTTGTTCCTTCGGACAGTAGTTGGTGGAATGCTGGTGGGATCTCCCCTCGGTTAACTTATGGACAGGCCTCTTCTTTCATTACGATGGAGTATAGTTCAGGTCCACTTGAAGAGATGGAAAACAGGCCGTTTTCAGCTTCAAGTTTGGTTGGGGATCGGTTGTCTTTGCCAATTAGACATGGAAACCGATCTGGTCCCTTGAGAACTGTAAGAAGTAAACCAGCCTTTTATAGATTAAGGGGCAGCATGAGTGAACATGGGGGGCTCCTTTCAAGGCGTTTTTGGAATGATGGATATTGGGTTTGAGGTTTTCTTTCAAGAGTGTTTTCAAAGTGTACAGTTCCGGAGGACCAGGACTTTTCAGTTTAATGGTCGAATGATGTAGTTTAGGTGTTTGGTATTTATAGGGTTTCCATGTCTGGATAGATAGAGAGACCCTCGCTTCTGATTTTGAAAATCTTGATTCATACTACACAAAGTTGGAGATGTAAGTTGAACACTCCTTGTATTGTATATCTGTTTAATTGTTTATTATGGTTCAATGCTGTACCAAATGACTGACTTTGTGCTCCCTTTATCAAGCTGAAAAATCAATCTAATTGTTGACAACTTCCAGTTGGAACAGAAATCAATTTCTAAATTTTCTAAAGCTTCATCACTTGGGAATAGTTGATGGATTTGAATCGTTACAATTCTTCCATTTCGGTTGTTTGCGAAGGAATAACAAGGAACGGCGAGAAAATTTTGGAGTTTCTAGAACATCTCCCTCTGTTCTGTGAGAGGCTGCTTGATTAAAGAGGAAAAGCAACAAGAAGAAAAGTAAAGAAAAGAATTACCCCTAAAAATAAGAGTGCGTGTTTAAAGGGGAAACTTCAATCTAGTCCTTAATGTATTATCCCTTTATCAATTAGTTTCCAAATCTTTTAATTTTATCAATTTTACTTCATATGTAAAGGACATTAGACAATGTCATCGAGTTAAATATTCAATGGTGTTTTTATTAAAAGCGTTAAAATAAACTCGCACTTTTTGCATCAAATCATAATAAAAATTTTTAATTTAAGCCAGTAAAGTGAAAAAAATAATTATGATTTAATGCTAAATTATCGTTTAGGGTATATTGAGACTTAATTTGGTGCTTTGATAGAAATAATTAACGAACACTACGTTTCAAATAAAATTAATAAAATCAAAAGATTTGAAACTCAATTGATAACAAAAAAATAAGTTAAAGAGTTAAATTTAGGTTTTCCCATACTCCTAATAATACTAAAAGATTTGGGAATTTATCATTCAAAACACTATATATTTACTATTCTCTTTCGTTTCACTGTTCATTCATTGTTAATTGTATCTAAATTCACTATTCATTTACTATACATTTGTATTCTTTGTCTAAAAATATTGACTTTAGTTCCTTATTTTTCGATTTACAAGTTCATTTTTTGTTCATTTTGGTCCTTACATGCTAACAGGAGAGAGAAACGAGGGAGAGAGAGGGATCGCGAGGCACATTCCGGTCATCACAATGGTCGAACTTGCTATCATTTTGTTCGTATTGAAAAATATAATATGTTTGTGGTGTTGGCAAACGATGATATGATCGGAGAGATAGATCGAGATTCAAAAATATTTTGAATTTTTTTATTTTGATTTGAATTTTTATGTGTTTTGTGTGAATTAAAATGAGTTTTTAAGCGATGAATAGATTTTTTACGTTATTTCTAGGATTTTGAGGTATTATTGAATAAAAATAGAACCAAATTCAGGTTTGAGAGGCTTGAAATTAAGAAATCTGATTTTTCGACTACTTTTCCGATGCAATCGAACTTGTCAGAAATTGCAGAATCGTCAGAAAATTCAAAACAGGAAGAAAAAAGAAAAAAATTCTGCCCAAGCCCGCGCCTATAACCATTTTGAGTCAACTATTTTATTAAAAGACATCCACTATGTTCAATTTTCTCTTCAAGACCTATTTCATTACTTATGCTGCATTCTGAATTATACCTTCACATGCTCAAAACTGTAACTATCTTAAGAAAAACTAGCCGACTAGGTTTGTGTAATGTATTGATGTTAGACTGCAGAAGCACATATATGTTATGTTCTGTACAATAACCTATTATCGTCATAGTCATGTATCATTCTTGATTTTAAGTCCATATTCAATATTAAGACACGTTCATAGAAATTCAATCTTACATGCCTTTTTTTTGTCTCAAAATGATTTTCTTGTCCAGTGCATGTAGGTACGACCAGAAAACAAAATCTAGGATCTAATATATGGACATGATCGATGTCTAGAAGAGGCGCTTATCATCAGATGAATTTGAAGACACTGATCTTGAGGATAGATTGATCAAAGTTTTAGGGAGGAACATGAACATGCTGAAGTACCGACTACAAGCTCAAAACGTTAATTGGAAGTTGGATAGAGAACAAAAGCAAGGACCAAAACGATAGCTTAGCCAGTACTCTCAATAAGCTCACAGGTGCTATAGGAAAAATGGCTGATACGTTTTAAGCTGACGGTTCAAAACAAAGAGATGTTTATGAAGCTTTCTTCTTTATGAAAATAGTCGATATGATATTGCATCAGAAGTAATGTTGTTTTTTGTTATTCTGCTATGCTGGAATTTCAACGTCAAGGGATCTTCGAGCATGAAAACATTGCTTGATAAGTACTGTTAAAATTAGAAAAAGGATCAACATGTTGTAACACATATTTGTTCCGGTCCTTGTATTTTTTTCCTTTCTATCATTTAATTTTTTTTAATTAAGAAGTTTTAGGTAAAAATTATGGAACATCAAACGTTATTATTTTTGTTTTTCATGTAGCGTAGAGAGAATATTATTTAAATTTTATTTTTTGAATTTATTATTTCTTATAAAAATTATCATTCAATTAATTTTTTTGTATAAAATTTTATTTACGAGATAAATATGATTATTTTTTTCTATATTTTCATTTTACAATAAAATTTTAAAGCATAGTTATTTTTTAAAAAAAATAAATTGATATAATATATATCATGAATTCTTAAAATTTGTAAATGATATATATATAAAGTCAAAAATATTTTTTAAATAATTTATCTTAATCTACCGGTATGATCAAGACGTAAAAAAAAACTATTGAATTATTGATTTTATTAAAAATTAATTAGATATTTTAACTCGCAACACTAACTATTTGCTATTAATATTTTTTTAATATTATAGAACCAATTTTTTTAAAATAAAATAATTAAAATAACTTTTTAAAAGAACCATCCAATTACTCGGATATAATTTTTATACTAATTTTATTGATTATAACAAGTTTTTATTTAAGCATTAATACATAAAGAAAAATAAATATATTTTTTAAAAAAATTATAAAATTATAAAATTTTAAAATGGTTTTATTTTATCAGATTTGCACCGCCTAACAGAACCGGTTAGTTTAAAGGCCTAAAGTATCTTGTACCCGATGGTGCGATTGATTGGAACACATCTGGATTTGGATATGACTCATTCCAGAACAGGAACATAGGCTCCCCTCTTCCCAAACAACTTTAAAAAATAAGTGTAAATCCCAAAAACAGTACAGCCAAGCCATCGTGGCTCCTAATCTCAACAGTAAGCTGCTTGCACTTGCGTCAGCAGTAAAAGAAAACAATAAGATGCTCTCGCTGCCTGCATATCCTTATGCTGCTTCTCCTTCTCTGACTTCTCTCTCCCCTTTCTTTTGGTCACGTCAACCCTCCTCGTCTTCCTCCTCGTCCAGGTCAGGTCTCAGTTCATTCATGCTCACGCATTCCTATAATAATTCTTAATTAAATATCGTGTTTGATTAAAAATCAAAGGATTATATTTCAGAGTCAAAATGGCATCATCGGATATGGAATCGCTTCCTCAACACCGCATCGTCGTCAGTTCCTCTCTCTCTCTTCTGTACTTTCATTCTTTCTAAACATATATTATTTATTTAAATGTAAGTGATTAATTTTAGCAGTTAGGATGCGGAGCGGCATCGGTGGATTTCTTGGCGGCAGTGGCTTCTTATCCTAAACCCGATGACAAGATCAGAAGTACTAGCTTGAAGGTCTCTCTCTCTCTCTCTCTCTCTCTTAATTAAATTGTGTTTTTATTTTTTCAATTAATAATAAAATTGGTTTGTCAGGTTGAAGGAGGTGGAAATGCAGGGAATGCTTTAACATGTGCTGCTCGTTTGGGCTTAAATCCGAGGCTCATTTCCAAGGCACGGCGTCACTTTTAATTTTTACTATCAATTTCTCCTTTTTCTCAAAGCAATGCAGGGCTTGATTTATGATGTGAAAAAATAATTTTGGCAATTCAAAATTGATTAGGTTGCTGATGACAGTCAAGGCAGGGGAGTTTTAGAGGAACTTGAATCCGATGGCGTTGATACTTCTTTTTTCGTGGTTAGAATGAGTTGATCTTCATGAATATCATTACAGTCATTTATACTTTATCTCAAGCATTCATTCATTTTGATAGGTTGCTAAGCTGGACTCTATATGTGGTATTACATTGTTATGCTTTATGGTTACATTTTTCTTAATTGCTTCTTTCGCTTTTGGTTATGAACATCTTCTGTCATACGTTGACTCGTTTGGTACTGTTCTAGGTTTCCAAGGATGGTAATTCACCATTTACCTATGTCATCGTTGACAATGAAACGTAAGGGCTTTTGCTTCAATACTTCATTCTCTGCCGTCGCACTTTGTTATCAATGTGACAGCTACACTTGATTCACTGCATAAATAGTGCACAAAATGTTTTATTTCTGAGTTTTGAGGATTGTGTTCAAGCAGCTTTCTCATTCATTTATGATCTTTAGGACATCAAAAGGGAAAGAGAAAAATTAATCTTTGGGATTCCATGTGTGATCATGGTTCAAGACATTATTGGAGTTGAAAAATGCAGCATGTTCTTCTAAAAGGAAAAAAAAAAAAAAATGAAGGAAAGATAGAACCATGTGTAAGTTTTAGCAGGCTGTATTTGTGTTAGCATCTCAACCTTCCTTTTTGTAGGTTCTTTGTCACAACATTACATATGTTTCATTCTCCTTCAAAAAACTTATCCAATTAGAGCTTTGGTGATGCATAGACTGTTGCTTTTCTGTCACAAATAATCACAGTATCACTTCTGGTGCTAGCAATCTTGGCTAAATATATTGGCTCCCTTGCTACTGCTTTGACATCAATGTGTTATGATTCGATCAACAATATGGTTTAATTAGCTTATTTTGTAAAACCTCATGAGAATCATGGTTGGCTTGAAATGAATAGTTGAAAACTTCATTCGAAATTTTATAGCTTCCGGTGATTGTTCTATATTATATTGTCAGGAAAACCCGTACCTGTATTCATACTCCAGGATATCCTCCCTTGATACCAGACGAACTTTCCCGGTCAGAACTTTTATCTGCATTAGATGGGGCAAGACTTGTCTATTTTGATGGAAGGTTACATGAAACTGCCATAGTTGTTGCACAAGAGGTAAAAGTTATCATATGTTGCCTCCAGTTGGTTTGGTGCTTTACTGCTCGTGCTGGGCCTTATATTAGGAGTGGTCATCTCATTGACAAGTTAGAAATTAAAAATAGAATGTGTTTTATATCTTTATTGCTTTTATATTGATTATGGAAAAAGGTTGCCAGCTATCTTCATCACCTGTTCAATATTTGTCATCTCAATGTTTGGATAGCAGATCGTGGCCTTCCTTTTTATAAAAATGTGTACCATCTACTTGAGGATGTCTGATAAATTCATTAGTGCACCCTTCTTTTTCTCCTCTTCATTGCCGTTCCTCCAAACTTATAAGGCGCAGGGTTCTGCCAAAGGCTTATATGACAAATCTTTTAGCACTCATCATGCTCTTTTGAAATGTTATGCTGTGATTAAACCATGAGTGATTGAATTAGTCAAGGTAATGCGATCATCAGAAGTCACTATAAACTCTTCTCATGACTTCTTTTGTTGGATCTAACATCCTTTTGCCTTCTCAATTTTGTGCACTCAAGTGAATTCTTGCCCCTCTGTTGCTTATGTTATTCACTGCATTAATATGGGAACTTTCATCTTCTTAGCATGCATCTCTCCCTCTCTCTCTCTCTCTTTTTTCAAACTTTCAAGAAAGTGGGTCATTGAACCTAGTTGGAAAAGCAATTTAGCATAATCCTATAATTCGTTATTTCCCTTTATACAGGTTATAAGGCTTCCCTTTTAACACCATATTATGTTAATATTCTCTCCTCTTGCCCAATTTGTTTCATGCAAATGTGTTCTTTCTTTCTTATACAATTATACCTGCGTATGTCCCTCCTTTTTTGTTACCCTTGTTTTTTTATCAAGGAAAAAATCATTATCTAACACCAACTACTAGGAGGTCAACATCATTAATTTGATTCCAGTGCAGGCAGCTCGCAAGAATATACCCATTTTGATTGACGCAGAAAGAAAGAGAGAAGGATTGGATGATCTTTTGTTGTTGGCCAGTTATGCTGTATGCTCAAAAAAATTTCCACAGGTAAGTTGAATATTCTTTGGTTGAATAACATTATGGTTGACTCGCACTGCAAAAGATTATAGACATATTGGAGATATACTGTCACTGATGTATCTTTACTCTGCCTCCTCTCTTTGGAAAGGGGCTTATGATGTTTTAGCATTTCATCAGGTGATGCAGGTTGTTTTTTTTTTTTTTTTTAATTCGTAGCGCTTGGAAGCATGTAGGTAAGGTTGCTGACAGTTGATCGCAGTGTGCAGTATTCTCTCATGACTTCTTTTATTCATCTTTTGAACATTGAGTTTTATCTTTTTGTTATAAAGCTCTGGGATATGCACTAATAAACAATACATATATGCTTTTCACAGAGAAAGCTTCTTAGGTAATCGATATATTTGACACCTAAATTGCTCGTATGGCAGGCTTGGACAGAGGCACCATCTGTTCCAAGTGCACTTGTTTCCATGCTTCTGAGATTGCCGAAAATCAAATTTGTGATTGTGACCATGGGTGAAGATGGATGCATAATGCTTGAGAGAAGCACAGAAGGTGAGTGTACACTTCTTAGTTTCGCAAGCAAAGGACAAAGTATGGTGACAGGAACACTCTCTTAAAACGAAACGTTATTGATGAACTTACATTTTGTTTTGTTTCTTTTAGAGGCTCCTGCATCAGAAGAAAAGGATGTAGAGAGCTTATTGGAGTCACTGAAGCAGAATAAGGATGATAACATAGCCATCCCAACATGTTATGCATCAGTAATATGCATCTTACTGAACTCCAAAACTGACTATATTTCTATATTACTGAGTTTGATCAGTTTGCTACAACAATCTCAAGTGAAGTGCAACATGAACTTTTTTCTCTTGAAGGATGAAATCATTAATTAAGAAAAAGGAAGCCCACATCAGGTTGCAGTGCGTGTTACTGGCATGTAATTTAGAGCAAGAGGAGAGATTGCAACTGCCCTTTTTTATTCACCATGGTGGTTCTACGGTGCTACTGTTTCTGGGAAATAAATAGGTTTAAATAAAAAGAATGGCTGTCATTGTCATTTACAGGAAAGGCCTAGCTACTTTCAAGCACGTCTTTTAGGTTTACTTGCACCAGAGATGGCCCGCATGTAAATTCCACTTGGTTGATTGAATGGTTTCTGACCCCAGGCAACATCAAAAGGAATGAAAACATTTGCATGCTAGATGTCATTCAATAAAAGCATTTATTGCCCAATTAGACCTATTTATCCATAAAGTTTCAAATTTGTGCTCTTTGGATAGTCAATGCGAACGAATGTTTGAAGGTGATATTGTATAGTTCTAAGCCTTTATTGAACAGATGAATGCTATTTGGAGCCTTTTTTGTGTTTCAATCCTAGGAGAGAATGCTACAGTCGTTATATTTTTTATTTGTTTGCTTGATTACCGAATGAAATTATATTTTCATTTTGTACCTGCTTATTTTTCAGATAAAGTTAATGTGGAATTGAAAAAATGAATTCTGATTGGATTAATCATTTCACATCTTTTCCTTCCAGCCATTGACAAAGATAAGATCAAATGGTATAGGGACTGTGAGTGGGAGGTTGTTTGTGGGAACAGCTGAGAAGATACCACCACCAGAACTTGTTGATACGACTGGTGCTGGAGATGCTTTTATTGGTGCTGTTCTTTATGGTAGGTGTAATGTGAATATGGATGCATGTGCACTCTCTGTTGTGTTTTTATGTTGGTCTTCCACAGATCAATTGTCTTATATGCATGTCCCTGTTGAAGATTATCCGTTTGTATTAGATTATAGGTGAGGGAACAAGGCAGTTTTTTTTACTAATATTACATTATGAAATTCATTTGTCATCAGAGATCGATAACGATGTTTCAAAAGAACAATTAATAGAAGTGAGTAGCACAAGTTGATGAGTTATTAGCATGAACTGTGTTCAATCCAGTTCAACCGCCAAGTTGTTCATCCCCTAGGCATATAATCTCAATCAGTCCGGGATTGACTCCATCACCTTGCTGGGATATAGTCTATACTTGATTGATCTGGTGTATTACAAGGATCTTAACACTTAAGAACTAATAGCAGTGTCACGTTATCCATCATTTCTACGACGTATCATATTCTGTCTATTGACACACTTAGACTGGGCTTGGAACTCATCTTTTTTCATTTGTTTTCTTCTAGCTATCTGCGCCAACATGCCACCGGAGAAAATGTTACCATTCGCTGCTCAAGTGGTACGCACACTTACTTTTATATTCGAACCACAAGCCCTTTTTGTAGCCAGGGGGTTCAACAAGCTATTCATGTTATTTCAATGTGGAGTTGATTGCAGGCGGCTGCTGGCTGTAGGGCTTTGGGAGCTCGAAGTGGTCTCCCACACCGCACAGATCCACGCTTGGCAGCCTTTTTACATTAGAGCTCCCTTACTATAAAGGGCATCTTGTACAACCCTTGTCATAGTGACTTGTAATTAACTTGTATTATGGTAGCGTTCATGTATGATTTCCAAAGAAACAAAATGATAAAAGTATGCAAACTAGTCTATCAAGTGGAATTCCTATCTAGTTTTAGGGAAATAGCTCATTATTTTCTTATAACAATTTAAGTTTCAGTCTATTTTTATGTTTCTAATTGTGTTTTTGAATTATATTTATTTGTCTAATTTGTCTGTCTGACTAATTTTTTTGTAACATAGGACAATTTTTTTAATCGAAATATTCTTAGTTAAAATACTAAAAAAAGGCAAATTTCTATTATGTCATCACATTTACTAGTTGTATTTATTATGTTCATGCATAATATCAAATTTTCTAATATGTCAGCTGGTGATTTTTTTTTTTTAATCTAAATTGAAAAAATTATATTTTTTATTCTCAAATTATCCCTAAGGCATATAAGGATATAATATAATTTTTTTTCAAAATTGCTTAAAATGTTTTAAGAATAGTTTTAGAATTACTAAACTAATTACAAAGACTTTTAATTTATTTATTTTTAATGAAACTATATTCTTTTATAGCTCGAAGGTACGAGGATATAATCGAAAAAATTCTCAAAATTGTTCAAAATATTTTAAGAAATAAGGAGTTTCAAAATTACTAAACCATTTACCTTTTAAAAACTTAGGATTTTAAGTTTGCATTTTTTTTTTTTTTTTTTGAAAATATAGCAGCTCAAGGGTATTTCATAATGAAATATATATATATATATAATTCTATTAATTTAAATGAAAAACATCACATAATTATATATTAAAGAATGAGATATTATATAAGGTGATAACAGACATAATAAAAAAAGGACAAATTTAAATCTCAAATTATTATATAAAGATATATTGATTCATTATTTTACCTTTCTTTTCTTTTTATGAGGTTGAAATAATACCCACACTTGCGAAATCTGATGGGATGAGATACGAATGTTCTGAGATAGAAGGAGAAAGTAGATTAACTGTATAAACAAATGGCCAACCAAATGAAGCAGCAGATGAGCATTAAAACTCAGTACGTATATAAGAGCAGCGCATGCTCGTTTCACATGACAAACAGGCAGGCACATGAGGTTTCACAAATCACATTACAGCAAGATGTTTAGACAAAAACAAAATAGGACATCACAATTCACGGCCAAAACCTAAGGCCTTCTACTATTATATGTTCAGACATCCATCCCAGCTATACCCTACACATCAAGAAAGAAATGCATTCCTCCTCCTAGCAGTCTACAGCAAACTATCAGCCTTGGTAGGCAACCTTCTGAAGAAACTTAAAGCCCTAGGAGGCAACTTGTTCCTGAATCTGGGCGGCCTCAGCATATAAAGCCCCCACAAAGCCACCACAACCCTGATGGGCACAGCATAGAACCCAACAGCAGCAAACAAGCACATTACCACGAACAAGAAAGTGGCTCTTGGGTCTCTCCAGCTTAACAATGCCTGGAAACGTTCACCTTGAGTAGCCATATCACCAACCACAGTTTGAATCCTCCCTGCCACGCTCCTCAGCCTATCATACCTCATCCTGACTGTCTCAGCACTTCGACTTGTCGGAAATGAATCAAATTCTTCATCCAATTCATCAGGGTAAACACTCTCCGCATGAGAAAGCCTGGTGTCCATATGGGGTGGGTGGCGTGGTCGGGATCTGTATCGCCAGAGTCCCATAAATGCCATGTAGAGCAACAAAGAAGGGATAATGAGCTCAGGCATGGCAACCAACAAGAGGAACACTAGAACAAACAAGGTTGAGTAGACTGGCTTGTGCCAGTTGCGCATCGATTCCACCCACCGACCCATGGCAACGAGAGCAGAGAGCACGCTTATTAATCTAGCAAAGTTAGCCTTGCTTCTCCTCATGCTCCACATATGTGAATCATGATCAAGCATGTACTCCACCACTTCTCGCCCCAGTGGAGGCTCTGCTCGACTGAGCCGTGATGCCACCACATTCATTGCTTGATACCTCAAGGCATCCAGTTGATTCACACTCAATGGTTGCACATAATGCATCTTGGGTAGCAGTGGCACTGTGTACATGTGCAACATATTGGCCATATTGGCACAAGAAAACCTAACAGCTAAATGAAGCTCACCCATCTTCTTGATGCCAGTAGTGTGAAGCATAAGGAGAGGATAAGAATGAGTATAAACCCTGTCTGATTCAAGGGTTGATAATCGAATTCTAACCTTCCCAATACGAGGATCACGAGCACCGGCATTGTTGAAGGCATTCTTGTCTATTCGGCAGTTATCAAAGACCCCAACTGTGATGACTGTGCAAGGATCAAACACTTCCCAAGTGTACTGCTCGTTCCATTTTGGTGAGAAACTATCAACAACCGTGCGCGTTCTCACCCATTTCTGACCATACTTCGCAACACAGTAAGCATCTGTAGACTCCCTTTTCCCTTCCTTTAGTTTTGTTGGCATCAGTGCTGTTGCACCCAAAATTCCCATCTCAAGCACACCAAGGTGAGGCTTCCATAATTGTTTTGCAGTTGGCCTAACATCGCTGCTATACATGGTGGTCTCGTCTAGTACATGGTAACCCCCATCCAGAGACAGCCTGAGGTGGATTTTAGACCCAAATCTTGTCATAAGCTTGGAATCAACTGCACTGCCAAAATGATTGTCAAGATTGAACCACCTAGAAACGACTTGTTTTTCATCATGACGCCTCTCAATCGCAGTCACTGGAAGCAGAACTCTGCCTACAGCCTCCTCTCGTCCCGGTCCAACTCGGTCCTCGACAGAAATGAGCAAGTAGTCCTCAAATGGCTCTGCAACTACAAACATCAATTCCTCATTCCAGTAAGGATTGGTCATACTCCTGTTGGGGTTAGGCCCTGCTATTTTAGTCCTCAAAATCTGGTTGCCCACCTGGACTTTCACAAAGAGTTCGGGGAACCTCATCATTCCCGAACCCTTCTCCCCAGGAACGATATCTTGTGCTTCAATAACAGACACCCTTAAATACCACAGCTTAGGTGAAAGATAAACCTTGGATTTGATAGAGCAGAGCCCATCAAAATGCACGTTTGCTGCCTTTGAATGCCAAGCCTCTGCAAACGCCTCATCAGCTTGAGTCCCAAACCAAATAGACACCATAATCTCACCACCTTTTGACTTGTCCCCTTTCTTGTCCTCCATTCTATACCACTGTGGTGCTAATTGACTGTCAGGTGGTACCCTTCTAGGAACTTCATTCAAATCAAACCAGACACGGCCCAAGAAATCATCTCTGTTGCCTTGTTTGACAAAAATCTCCACCATTGATGACTGTATGCAATCTTTAGAGAAAGCAAAAACTTGGTCCCATTCCACATTACTTGAGCTAATAACCCTCTTAGTAACCCCCCTGTAGTTCCCTAACTTTACCTCAGCCACTAGTTCACCACCACCAAAAAACGCAGTATCTTTAGCCTTGACAACTCTCACATAAAGATACTGCATTTGCTCGACAAGATCATAAGTTGAACTAGTTTTATCTTTGTTTAAAGGACCCCCGCCAAGGTGTGGACTTGTCTCTTTAAGAGAGAACTCATTAGACCCATTTGAATACAAACTAGCTCCACCAACACCAACACCTCCAACAGGGCCTATAATACCCCCACCAGAACCAGAAACAGGACCAAGACCAGTGGTGATGATGACGGGTTTAATCTCGCCTGGTTTTGGCTCAACAGGCTTTGCATTATGGTTCTGGCCTTGCTGTTGTGCTTGCTTGTTATTGTTGATTACCTCTTGAGTCAAATGCTGCGGTTGCTGCAATATAACTGGATGCTGCTGCTGCATTTTTTTGTTCTTCTTTAAAGAATTACCAGCACCCGGAGTACCAGAAACCACCTCTTCATTATCAAAACCCGCAACTTCTTTAACCTCCACTCTAGTAGAAACATAAAGCTTTAAACTTATCTCTCCTCTTATATGAGAAAACAAGCTTCTTTTCTCAAGGGTGTGTAACTGCACTTCCTCTTCGCCTTGTTTAGCGATACTTGAACCAGAAACTCTAACTTTCCCAAGAAAGCTCCTGCTGTTGCTTGACCTCCTCTCATTGAAGACATTAACCTCAATAGTTCTGTAAGGAAGATCGGCAACATCTTTGATGTGAAACACAAGCTTCTCGTTCCAAATAGGGTTCAAGTCTTTGTACTTGACTTGAGTTCTCAACCTTTGGTTCTCAAACTCTACCTCAACAAAAGGTGAGGATGAGCCTTCTCCATCTTTTGGCATCAAGTTGTGAGCTGCTACCACCTCCACCACCAGCTTTTCTTTGCTGGTCATGGTGGTGCTGTGTTGGTTTAGCTCTTTCTTTGACTTTGCAAAGAGAGAGATAAAAATGAAGAATCTAAAGGACAACGGAGACAAATGAGGGAGGCTGAAGTGGGAAGCTAAAAAGAGGCAGAGGACGCAGAAGGGCGTGCAACAGAGATGTTCTTTTTTCGGGCAACAGACAGTTTTGCGAGGGAGAGAGAGTAGAAATGAGTCGACGAGGAAGGAAAAAGATCTTTTGAGCTGTACTACGTTTTCACTGTAGAGCGTTTAGTACACGAACCAATCATGGATCAAAAAAGGCAGCATTGGTTGTGACAGAGTGGATATTGTGGGTCCTACAAATACTCACATTCCTAATGTTTGTTTTGACCTCACTTCTCCGCTCAAGCCCCATGCTTTAATTACTTTGTTTCCATATAAAAACATTTTGGTATTGATTTTTTTTATTCAATTTGTGTATTAATCGAGAATATTTTCTTAGTGAATGTGACCAAAACATTCAGACGGACAACCTTAGCCTATATTTAGCTATATATTAAAACTAACCGGCAAATTTATTCTTGATGATTTCAGTTTTGGTGGTTGTTTGTGTTTACTTTTATAAAATTAAAGTATTTTCTATAAGATTATAATGATTCGCTTCTTGTGTAGATTTGATACATTCGGCTGACCTTAAAAAAATATGAATCTAAAAGCCTAAAAGAATAGAATGAATCTCTTTAACCATTAGGGTGGATGATTTGAAATTAACTTTAAAGTATTAGCACTATAAGTAGATATTAAAAAATGAACAAAATAAGAAAAATAATTTTTTTTTATAATAATAAACAAGATTATAAGTTTTTCTTTACTACTTTACATGTTCAGTTTCAGATAAATTAAAACTAAGAAGACTTATGGAATGTATTACACATTATTTGTTTAGCTACGTGAATAACCGGTAAGATTTCGAGATCTCTTATTCATAATAAATATAACCATATATTGAAATACAAATATGATAATATATAATTTAACATTGTTTTTTAAAATTTGATTTTGATCACATATATTTAAATATTTACAGTTGATTACAATCATTACTGTAATCTTTCTAAACTATGTTGCCGAAATGAGTCATTTATTCGTGTAAGATTTACTTATGTTATGAATATGTTAGGTGCATTACACGAATAACATTTTAATTCATTGTCCAATTAACTTTTAATATGATAATATGTCATTTGAATTAATCGTTTTATTTGAAATAGTTATTTTTAATATGTAGCGTGAGTAGAATTAATAGCACGTGTATGAATACAAATTTTTGACACTTTGTTTTAGTAAACTTTTTTTTTTTTTTTTTTTTTGTAACTAGCAAAATTTATCAAAAGGAAAAATATAAATTTTGTAGATCATTTTGTTCAAAGGGGTAAATAGTAATATAGAACAATAACAAAAAACTTCCTATGAAAAAACATAAGGATCCAATTAAATAATTTAATGAACTTTAATTTAGTTTTATTATTTTAATATTATTGGTATTTTTTAGCTTCTTTTTGGATTTTGATATGCAAACTAAAGTGTTAATAATGTACTGACTAGGTATGAGTTTTTTTATGAAATTTATTTTATGCTAGTTAGGATTTTACGTGGTTAATAAATAGAATAGTAATGAAAAAATGGGATTGATCTATTTTTTTAGATTTTGATAATTTTTTTTAGAATTTCTTCAATGTTCCTTTTTTCAAAACATTATTATTAAAGATATATTATAACATTAACTATTGTATTAAAGATATAATTGTCAATAAAAAGCTTTCAAAGAATTCGTAATTTTGCATATAATTACCAATATACGATCTTATAAGATAATAAGTATTAGACAAGTGTGTCTTTAATAAAGTGAGATTGTTTACTCTGCTACCTTTTATCAACAATAGAAGTCTCACGTCAACTAGTATAAAACTATGTATAATAATTGATAATTAAAATAATGATGTAGTAGTTTTGTGAATTTTAGATAATTAATTTTTATCATATATTTTTCATCTGTAATTTCTCAATGAGATAGAGAGATCACCCAAAACAAAAAGATAAAAAAGCTTTGTCGAATTGAGAATTTTGTAAAACAAAAATAGAGATAAAATTACAACATGATAAAAATTAAATGATCAAAACAAAGTAAATATCATAAAAGAAGGATAAAAATAAATATATAAAAAATTTCGCTAAAAGTATAAAAAAAAAACTTCATAAATAATAAGACTAAAAAAAATTCATTATACATAAGGCAAGAGCAAAAATAAAACATGATAGAATTTTAATGACCAAAATAAAAAAAAATCATAAAATAAGAACCAAAATATAAAATGTTTTTTACTAAAAGCCAAAAGAAAAAATTAGAATAGTGAAACTATATTTAATTTTAGTGTAGAAAGAATAACAATCGGATATAATAAAACTTTAATGATCAAAATAAAAGAAAGATCACAAAATAAAATCTAAAACACAACAAAAAGTTTTACTAAAAGTAAAAAATAGTTTCTTGTAGGGAAAAAATCAAATACAATAAAAATTTAATGATCAAAATAAAAAAAAATTACAAAATAGGGACTAAAACAAAAATAAAATTCTACTAAATTTAATGGCTTAAACAAAGAAAAAATCACAAAACAGGGAGTTATAATATAAGGAAAAGTTTCACTAAAGAAAAGAAAAAAAGCTTAGGATAGTGAAACTTTATTTAGTTCTAGTATAGTAAGGATAAAAATCAAACATAATAAAACTTTAATAACTAAAATAAAAACATGTCACAAAATAAGAACAAAAAAAGACATAAACTTTTACTAAAAGTCGAGAAAAAAATATTTATTATAAGGATAAAAATCAAATATAATAAAATTTCAATGACCAAAATAAAACAAGTTACAAAATAGGGACTAAAATAAAAATAAAATTCACTAAAAGCCAAACGAATGGCTTAGCTACAATGCGAGAAAGAGAAGGAATCAAAGAAAAAAAATTCAGCAAGAGGGAAAAAAATAGTGAACAATTAATCCACAATAACTAATACGAGTACTTTTGCGTTTTCTTTTATTTCTTTTTTTTTTTTTTGTTAATTAACACACTTTATCCGACAAATACATGCATTTATCTTACTCTCAAAAAGATAGAAACCGGATATTTGTTAAAAAGTATTAAATTTGATATTTGAGATTGAGTTTTATTCAAAATAAATAAGTCTCATGATAGATGGTCTATTTTTGAGTTGATATATTATGGCGACTCGAACTTTATTATCAATTAAAGACTATAAATAACGAGTTGCAACCAAGCAAAAAGACACATAACAAACACATACAATAATAATATTTTTCTAAATTATCGACTTTATATCTTAAATTATTTCAACACTTAGAGCACAATAAGCTATAGTTTATAGAAAGTAATTAGTAGATAGTAGTAGTAGTAGTAAGAAGTAGCAGGAGGCTTATAGTAGTAGTAGAGTCGGTAATACATCTTTGGTTTGATTTTTACTTTTGTTGCAACATATGCGGTTCTTGTCTCTCAATGTTTAAAGTTTCAATTGGTACTTATTTATTAATTCATATGTTTGTAAGTTCTCATATTCTTAGAATCGTTATCATTTGTACTTAAACTTTTGATTTAGTATTTATTAATTTCGGTTCTTATTCGATTCTCAGACTTGTAATTTATGTGTTTATTATTAATTAAATAGCTTGTTTTTCAATTTAGCTTGATTCTTCTTATTGCATACTATTATAATTTTTCAAAGTATTAATTTCTAGTTATTTCATTTACGGTATATTAGCTTTTTAATCTTGCAGATCCGGACACTTAAACGGTCCGAAAACTCTTTTAAAGGAAGTTTAGGTCATTTCATTATAATGTGTAGGTAATAATTATTTTTATTTTGAGCATGTAAACACCTTTAGGAACAAAATTAGGATAATCATACTTAATAATTTTAACCTTTAGTTCAAAATTTAAAATATTGAATGTTCTGCAGACTACTTTCTAATCGTTTTTCATATCTTTTGTTTCATTTTTTTTTAATTGGAGGTAGGCACAAAAAAATTCAGAACACTAGCATGTTAAATTTGATAATTAAAATCGAATTTCATCCAAAAATTCTAACCCAATTAAAAGTCCACTGTGTATATATATATATATATATATATATTATTTGTTTTATTTATTCGTTATAAAGAGATTAGTATTGATTAATGCGTTGTAAAATTTTGGAAGTTAATAGCGAGTGGTAAATTTAAGGCTCCTGCTGTATAGAAACAGCAGCCTTTTCAATTGTTTCAAGGAAAGTCAGCATTGAAGGAAGGAAGTTAATAGGGTCTGGTCAGGAAAGCGTGACAGAATCGGAATCCGACATTAATTTTTTATTTTAAACTTAAACTCATGAGAAGGAAAAGGGAGAGAAAGCGCAAGCAAAAGCACAGCATCGCATTTCTTTTACCCTGTAATCTCGAAGTCCGAGGTTTGGAGTAAAAATTGTCTCTTCAAAGAAAGGTCTTATGGGTTCTTGCGTTTTTCGAATGTCTGATCTGGTCTCTTCGCTGTTTCTTAGGCGCGTGTAACACTGTCCCATGTAATATGCATAACCCCAGCTATGTGGGTCCCTAATAGCAATTCTCTCTCTGCGATCTCCTTTCTTCTCCTCTTCACTTCTCTGCCTGGAATTTGAAAGCCATAGCTGCTCCTTTTTGTTTGCCTTTACCTGTCACCCTTATGCGGTCCCCCCACCTTTGTTGATACAGAATCACAGGTATTGGCTTGTTTTTAACCAAGATGGGGAAACTTGGAGTTTCCTGTGAATATATTACTAGCTAGCTAGCTAACCAATAGCTTGTAAAGAGAGAGGATGGTAAAAACAGTACTACTGCTACTGCTGATGACACAGAGCTACGCTATGAGCTGGGCTAAGAAAGATTTGAGTGAATTAATTTGCTTACAGATTTAGGTTCACCTCACATGTACAAGTAGAGGGGAGTAGTGAGAGATTGTTATTTTTCTGCACGCAGCTCCAGTGCAAATTTCTTGGACCACATCCACATCACAGCAGCCAATTGCAAGAAACCAAATAAAGAAAGAAATTTGGACAAAATATCTCGATTTGTCCCATATATATATATATATATATATACAGAGAGAGAGAGAGAGAGAGAGTATCCTCTTGATGCTTGACCAAGTTGATAAGTATCATAGGGCTGCAGCACCATGCATTTTTACTGGACTCCATGTACTCGACCGTCGAGTCCATAAATATATATTTCCTCTTCCTCTCTATTAAAAAATTGTTGGTTGTCATACTAGTATTTTTTATGTATATTTTTTTAAAATATTTTGTTCCAGCTATTCCTCTGTTTTAAGATATTCATTTATTTGATCAAAATATTAAATAATATATTTTCTAAAATACTCTCATTGATAAAAAAAAATCTTTTTTTTATTTTATGTTCTTCATTATAAAAAAATCAATATTTTTATATTTTTTTCTTATATATATAAATACGATTAGCATAAAAAAATTTAAGTTTACATGAAAAATATTAATTCTTATAGAGATTTTATTACATATTGAAACTTTAAGAGTAAAATATTTTTATTAGAATATTAATTTTTTTGTAATGATTTAAACTCGATTCTTAATTAACTTAATAATTTTTTTAATTAATACCTTAATTTAAGATAATTTTTCAAAACTAGATGAGAAAAACGTTCTTTTTCAAATAGATGAACTAATTTTTTGGGACGGAAGGATTAGTATTTATATTGATCTGATTATGAGGGGCGACGTTTTCAGAACAAAGGAATGAGTAGGTCAGTTTCTGAAGAGCACATAATGAGTAGGGTAGGTAACTACCTGCTGCTGTATCTCAAAAGGACAGATAGATAGATAGACAAGATAATGTTATGTGAAGCAGCTTCCAAGTTCCAATTAATCCTGAAAAGTAAGCAAAAGCGTGTCTTGTCCTGCTGCAACCATTCTCTCTTGCCCCTAGCAACTCCATCTCGTCAGTTTTTGATGTAGAAAAACGCTGGTGCTCTTTACTCTTAGTTTTTTTTTTATAGCATATTTCTACTTTCTAAATGTTTTTAATCAGACTCCTTCGATAGTTTTTTGTTCCTAATAATTTTTCAGATAAACGTGACAAAATATTTAACACTGTAATGTTATAGTTGATAAAATTATTACGTATGGAGTTCTTTATCGCAAGAACGCCTGACATGAGGGTGATTCCTCATGTACTAAACAAAAAGCGACAGAGGTGCTTATGAACACCAGCTTTATAACGCTACTCTAGACTGAAACAAAGTTGGTGAACATATCCAAATACCGTGTCAACTACACCAGCGCATATAGCTTCTGCTTCCTTAGCGAAATCCCTAGGGAAAGGAAAAAAAACAAAACAAAACAAAATCGTAAAAAAATCAGTTGTTAACCTCTGAATACATAAGGTTGCTTCCTTGCTACTTTTAATTATGCAAAGTCATGTTTGTGGAAATCTCATTAGGGTTTGGCATGAAAACCTAGTTGTCAACCTCTGACGACTTCTTTTCTTGAAACTGCTGCAGAGCTTCTCTCTGCTTTTTCTTTGATTTGTGAAAGTATGTAAAGAAAAACGTAAAAAAACTCAAACCCTTATTCCAAAACCCTCAAAACTTCAGATCAATAACCCGTGTCCCTTTAGTTATTTTCCACTTGAAATCAAGAATCCAATTACACCAAAAAAAAAAAAAAAGTTGGTCTTACAGTTGGACTTCAAACCCAAAACCCATGTATGACGTTTGAATTACAAGGCCACTATAACAGTCCTTTGGGTTTCAAAACCCCTTCTTTCAAACTCCAAATCCGAAACCCATCACTCCCGATTCATCCAAAATAACCACCAAGCACAAAGTGAATTGTAGTCGGGATGGAGAGAGATCGACCTCCTTTCTTTAAAAAAAATTATAAATAGATTGAATTCCTAAGCTAGCTAATCATGCCTCATTATACTTTTTTTCATTCTTTTTTCTATTTGCTCGAGTTGATTTTATTTGTCACGTGTCAATTTTATTTGATATGACATTATGCGTGTCAATTTTTTTCTCCTGTTATATTTATTCGAAGAATTAGCCAAAAAGTTATTAGAGAAGCCTCATTAAGAACAAATTAAAGAGCAAAAAAAATGCAATAAAAAAAGCAACATTAAAAAATGTCAAGAATAAAAGAAAGTTTCATGCAGTTAGTTTGAATTCTATAATCTCCATCTCTACTTGGGAATAACTCGAGCCCAATTATGAGGAATTTTGTCAAACAATATTTAGCACAAGAGATATCCTTAACCCTCATCTATCAAAAAGACAAAAAGTAATTTTATTTAATGAATGTTCACTCCTGGGGCTATCTTCATCAAGTCAACACCGATCATGACTTTTTTTAAACAACTTAATACTGACCTGTTGTCATTAACAATATTTGTATCTTAAAATTGATATCAATAGCTATTGATAACAAAAGAATATACCAACCTACATTTCTCTCCATTCAACTTGATGAAACCCTTGGCTATATAAAGAGCTAGAAAAACAAAGGTTAAAGGCTTTGCTCTCTCAATTCTTATAGGCATTATTTTTCATTCTCTACATATTTACACCCTCACATTACAACCTTCTAAATTTATTTATCTTTCTATACGTTAATTTAGTCACCGGATTGTCTTTTGATTCACCAAAAGAATTTGTTTTAAAAGTAATTCAAGTTACTCGAAGTATTATTTATCATTAATTGCTATCGTTTTGTCAATCATAAGAAAGACTACGCCATCATCATATATCATTATGAGAATCATAACATCATTAATCAACACACATTTGCTCGTGCATTTGATACTCTTTCTTTCCCTATTGGTAGCTAAGCATGCACGTGTTACTATATTGAGCTTATGTTTTAGCTTTTGTGCCTAATTGATAGCTCCCATCGAGTGTTGTGTGGATTTTCGAAATAAATTTTTTAAAAATTTTGTGTCTTATTTGATATTGAATACAAAATAGGACTGATTTTTGGAAGCCATTTACCATTGTTGGGCATCCAAATGGTATTTGTTGACTTTATTCCTCGTTGGACTCAACATTTCACTGCATAGGCTCAACCTTTTTGTGTTGATTTGCGACATTGCATCTTGTTTCCTTCGAGCTGGCCCAATTTACAGCATTCGGCTTTTCGTCCTAAGATCTTTTGTCGATTCAAAAATCTAGACGAAGGTTTCCCTAGGCTGAGTCAAGGCCCAGCAAACACAACCCTAATCCACCCTCCCAAGAACTGAAAGGAGGTCTGCCAAAATCCATTCATAACAATCTGTACAGCAAGTTTATCATCCATGTTCTGCGCCGACAATCACTCCAGGTTTAAGCCCATACTTATGCTGGTTATGGGTCTAGCCCATTTTCACGTGATAAGCCCAACACTGCTATTGCACACCCACCCACCGTCCCATTCTTGCTACTACTAGTTTACTCTTATATATCATGTCATGTATTTTCCGGGTAAACGGTATATACTTCTTTTCAGCTTTAAATCTTTGAATAATTAATATTTTAATATTTAATTTTGAGTTGGATGTTACTCTAACTAATTTTTATTTAAAATTAGGTTTTTTATTAGGTTTTTATCGATTCCAACTCTAAAAATGCACTAGTTTGATTTTTTTAACTTTATCAACAACTGAAAATGTGTCAAAATTTATTAATGTTTATTTTTTCTTCTAAAATATTTTTAATTGATTACTTTTTAATTCAGAGTTGGATCATTTTCTAATTATTTCTTACTTTAAATTATATCATTTTATTAAATTTTCATCAATTTAAATGGTGAAATTGGTAAAAATACACATGACTTTCTTGTGGTTGAATTTTTTAACTTTATTAACAACTAAAAATGTGTCAAAAATTTTCATTATTTAATTTTTTATTCATATTTTGTTTCTTTTCTTCTAACATATTCTTTAATTGCTTACAGCTTTTAGGATTCGGGAGGAAATAAATAAATTTTAAAGAGAAAAACAAAGCATTTATAAATTTTAACATTTTATTAGCTATTGAAAAATTACACTTATACATTAGAATATATAAAAACTTAATTAAAAAATCTAATTCTAAATAAAAAATAACTCTAAATCAAAAATTAAAAAACTAATTTTCAAGTGAATTAAAATTTTAAAAAGGTTTGAATGGAGAAATTTTATACTACACAAGGAGTAACTAGTAACATGTACAATAATTACTCCATTGACCCACTTTGAGGAGAGAGATAGACATAAAAAAAGGAGAGAGAAGCAAGAGAGAGAAAATTAAAAAAAAATTGAACAAACGTGAAAATCTTCTTATTACTTTTGGTGGTTCGGATGCAATTTAATGTGTCTATCTCTCTTCTCAAAGTAGGTACATAGAGTAACTATCGTACATGTCACTAGTTATTCTTTGTGTATTATAAAATTTCTCGATTTGAATGGTCCGGCCTTATTTTCAACATCAATAGTAGTAACCTGTACCTCCAATGCATTTCCTCGCCCAAACTTGCAAGGATGGGGTCAAATAGGCATGAGACTATGTATGGGACCGATGCGAGACTAACGACAAACAAGAACATAAGAGAGAGCAAAGGTAAAGGTTTTCTATTTGTCATGCATGATGGGTTTTACTTTGCTTTATCTTGTTGAACTTGCAAAGTGTCTAATTTTTTTAAAAGAGAGAGAGAACTAAACTAAAAGAACCGAGAGGTTAACTATTCATTTACTCGTATATATATACTAAGATTATTGAGGACTATGACTCAATACTCCTATGCATTCGGTCCACGCTTTATCTCCGTCGTCCATCTCTTTTTTCAATCACTCACTTTTCATCTTAACACTTGGATATTCTTTTTATTATTAATAATTAATAAAACATTTTTTTTAGCTTATTTATCGGCTCTTTTATATCAAATATTTACGAGATTTTTCATTGGGTGCATTTACGTAATATCACTTTTGCCCTTCCTCCTTCAAAAAACCAAATTTAATAAACCAGTTTATTTGTAATTTTTACACTCCTCCTTAATCTCCACCATTTATTTTTAACCTAGAAATCCTAACCCTCCATTTATAATATATAATGAAAAAAAATTCTTTCTCATCTACCTCTACCTTCTACTATTTTCTTGACAAAAAAAAAAAAAAAATCAAGAAAGAAAAGATGAAACCATTCTCAATTGCCTTCATCTTCAACTATTTTCTCACAATATATATATATAAAAGACCTTTTGTAACACCTCCGATTTAGGACCTAAATAGATTGAAGATATTACCGAGTATTGACTTACACTCGAATTGCAATGAATTCAAGCCAACAATCCTCTCCCTTTAACATCTTTAGTTTATTGGTTAAGTGAACAATTCTTATATGAGGTCCCTAATATGATATAATATGTCCACATTAAATAAAACTTGGGTATAAAATCTTTAAAAATTTAACTAACTTCAATTAATATTCCTACATTATGTATAGAAATATTAAATGACATATTTTGGTTATAAATCCATATCCTTGAAATCCGAATTAATAATTTAAATAAAATACCTTACATTAAAATAAGTTGAACCATGTCTCTTATTTTTCTTAAATTTCTTTTAAAAATTCATATAAAATTCAATTTAAGAATATTTCCTTTTCAAATATTCTACACAATAAGGTAGGATTATTTGATATTAATTTTATGTAAAAAATAATTTAATTATCAAGTATTACATTTAATTAAAAATAATCCATTAATAGTAACCACTAAATCAAGATTTAATGCCTATTATTTTTTTATAAAATTTCCATAGGCTAGGAAATTATTCCAAAAATTCAATAAAACATTTAATAAATTCATTTAGACCTTTAACTAATATTTTGGCCATTTAGAACATTTTTTGGACTTAAGGAACTTTGGTTCCTAAATAATTTAAAACTGACAAATTAAATACATGTATTCCATGACCATTAATTTCCTTTTAAGTTTCAACCTTACTAACCTTTTTGCCGTGCCCTTTTAATTTCGGTACTTTTTATCCTTAACTTATAAGTCATTAAATTAAGAAACCATTTAAGTATTATGTAATACCCGGTATCCACTAAAATTGATATTTAATAAATTTAAAAATATAACAATCATATGAAAAATATTTTGTGAGCATAGAGTGACCTTAAAAGGGTGCTAGAATATTCAAAATAATTAAAATAGTTTTTCATACTTAGTGAATATTTTGTGGATTTTTTGGTGTTTGAATAGTGACTTTTTGTGTGAAATAATTATTTCAAGCATAATGAATGTACATGAAAAATGTTCTGTTTGCATAAAATAATTCCTAAAGGGGTGTTAGATTATTCGATACCATTGGATGAATTTGATAAGTGTATAATGTGAGCGACTTGTGATGTTGATGATTATGAAAATGTATGGTTTTATGTTTGGTAATGATGATATTATTTGGAATTGTTGGGATTGATTTTGATGAGGCAATGTACTTGATGCATTTTATGTTATTGAATTATACATTATTATGGCATAAATGCATCTCACTTATGATATGCCTTTTATTAAATTATAATAAAATGCATATGCACGCCTAGTTTATGAAAATGATTTAAAGTCATGAAAAAGAGATTTTTTGTTAAGGATTTTCCATTAGCAATTGAAATTTTTTTTATGATTATAGGGTTTTCATGACTTTCATGATTTTAATAAGGAGGGCTTCACGGGTCTTCCATATCATTTATGGTTCAAGGTTCAAGGTCGAGTAAGTGGAAATGTGTATTTTCGGAGACTCGATAAGACCTGTCCGCGAGACGGATTTGGTTAGCCGTGTAGATTATGAAAACCCTAAAATGCCTATCGTAGGACATGTCCAAAGATAGAAAAGAATTTTCCGACCGATCACGAAAAGGATTTCATGACATGAAAGAGGATTTATAATGCACATGCAAATGATTTTCTACATGCATGACATGCATAGGTTAACTTATCGAGTCGTCGCTCACTTATTTTTTCTTGTGATGTAGATAGCACCGGTAATCATGACACACTCCACTCGTTGAGCTATTTACCGAGGGGTATACGTGCTGCATATACATTGGATGGGGTTTTAGGTTCCGAGTGAATCTTCCGCATATAGTTTTCTTTTTAGTGCTTGGGTGTCATAATATATGTACTAAAAGCTATGCGGTTTATTTTATACTATACTTAAAGCTATGAATAAATAAATAGAAAACTAGTAGTGCGATGTAAATAGATGAATAAACCACTTTTGTAGCATGAGGCATTGAGTTTGTTTTGTTTGTAAACAAAATATAGGCGATAAAATAGTAGTATAACCATAGTCGGTGTAGTTTCTTTAAGTGTTAGCATTGACGATAAAATAAGAAAAAGATGAAATTAATAAGACAACAATAATAATAAATGGTAATTAGAGAGGATAAAAAAATTAATCGCCAAGTAATACATAATAACTAAATGAATTTATGTAGACTAATTCGAGTGACACGGATCCAATCATTTCGATCCAAGTAATTTAAATAAAATGATAAAACGTGAAAAATTTAAAGTGTATTTTAGATCAATAGGTAGGACTTAATAGTCAAATAGTGACTTTCACAATGTATTCCATACCTAGAAATAACATGTATAAGTCTTAGTACCTTGTTAACTTGCTTTCATTTCATTGCACTTCCAACCTAGTATAAATGGACGATGAATCTCGATAATCGAGTGAGTATGTTTGATAAATGATAGTTATGATCTGCTCGGTGTATTTATGTGATAAATGTGAATTGTTTGATAATGTACTTTGATTGAATGTTATGTATATAAAATGTTATGAGTTAGTATGACATGAATGACTTAGTTTATGTTACTCGTGTTTGTAAATTAAGAAAAAGGAAAAAACATGCCACCAAAAAGGATTGTTAATAATAACGCTAGCAACACTATGGGATCAAGCCGAAGGTCGATAGATCGAAAAAGAGAGTTGATAGAGCTATTTAAGAGGCAGAAAGAAATGATGGAGATGAAATAGAAAAGGCATGAGGAGCGAGTTTAGATAGTACCGAAAACGAGTCGGCATGGCCCGATTGAAGCTCGTTTGCCTTAAAGAGC